AATAATAATATAAATAAGATTAGTATTTTTATGTGAGTTATTTTTAGGTAGATTTAGGTGTTAAGCTTTATAAGCTAAATCTAAACAGTTTACATTTATGTTTTTATAGAACCATTCTACTACATAACATTATAAGCGGTTTATTATGAAATAGGATATCTTTGATTATCCTATTTTAGAGAATATGTTTTACTAGCCTTTGTCTTACATATTACTAAATTGTTCAGATATAGTTTGTAACTTATTTTTCAAGTAAGGTAATAGTAATAGTAAAAATACTAAAAAATAGTAAAAATAGTATCAATCATTCCCTCATTCTTTCAAATACATTTATTGAGTACCTACCATATGACAAACACATTCTAGGAACAAGTAGATAAGATTCATTAGTGTGAAATCAGTAACCTGAAACCATATCACATGACTATATCAATGAAACCTTCAACTACAAATAGTTGGTCATCTTTTTTTTTTTTTAAAGATTTTATTTATTTATTTCAGAGAGAGAGAATGAGAGATAGAAAGCACGAGAGGGAAAAGGGTCAGAGGGAGAAGCAGACTCCCTGCTGAGCAAGAAGCCCGATGTGGGGCTTGATCCCGGGACTCCAGGATCATGACCTGAGCCGAAGGCAGTCGCTTAACCAACTGAGCCACCCAGGCGCCCCAAATAGTTGGTCATCTTAATTGAAATTCTGTCCTAAAGGATGGCTAAGCCATATGCACAGCTGATTAAAGAGCATTATTGCTCAGAAATGTGGTTATATATCCAGAGCAGTCAACCTCAGTGCATATATCTTAAGCATCATTGCACACATTGATGATCTTTTAAGTTTTGGCCAGAAGGGATTTGCCCCAACAGAGCCCATCTGGGCTGTGGAATTACACTGATGTACGTGCTCATCTTATGATATGTATAATGCTCTGATTTACATTGAGTTCTAATTAAGGACATGTCTCTTCAAATTAAAATTCCAAAACTTAGACCAAAAACCTCAGGTTTGAACCTATTCCCCAAAAGTCTTGTGACTTCCCATTAAGGCACTTTCAGAGACAAGTAAAGAAAAAGGAGGACAAAAAAAAAGACTTAGGAGCATGTCTAGCTACATTTTTCTTTTATTTAGCTCCATTTTTCTTTAGGTATATAAGGTAAATATCTATTAAAAAAAAAAAGTAGGGAGACATGGCATATTTTATCCTTAAAATTGTAGTGGTTTCACAGGTATCTGGCTGGCTTAGTCTGAGAGCATGTGACTCTTCGTGGTTTTAAGTTCAAGCCCCGTGTTGGGTATAGAGATTACTTAAAAATAAAATCTTAAAAAAAAAGAAAAAGCTGTAGTGGTTTGAGATTTCTTGGAGGGAAAGAAGTATTAAAAACAAGTGAGTATCCTTGTTGGAACTTTTAATTATGAGAGGGAGAGAGTCAATAATTGTTCTCTTACCTATTAAGGGCAGCTATATATCTGAGTCAAATTGCTTCAGGGCTGCTGTGAATTTCCCTCCAGCTCTTTTTATTCATTAAAAAGAAACCTAGATGGAGTTGTTTTTCCAACAATTTAGTTCTGGTTTAAAACATTGATGATGTGCACCATGCTCTGACATCCAAGAGAAATAAACTCTTTAGTCCTACAACCTCCCTTGGAAGATACGACGTAAGACCTCCAAAGAAAAGCTTTTCCTTTTTCAGACCAAGGTGGAATATTTGGAACATGTCATCTTTCAAGGAAACATCTAACCAAGATTAAGTCAACGCATCTACCAGTCCTGAATTCTCTCCCAGATACACATCTTTTTAAGTGTAGGCAGGTACTGTAAACAGTAGATTTCCAACTATTTAGGCTACTTAGCCGTAGTTAAAGCATTTATAGTAACTAGCCAAGTCGATATTTCCAGTCGCTCCTAAGGCAACCAACACCTAAAATTGCCACTGTTCTAACAAACCCTGACCTCTGTCCCTATTTGTAGGTCGGCCTGATGGCACCAACCCTTTATATTACTATAAAACAGAAAACTATGCCAAGAGAGTGCTAGCCCAGAGACAAGGTGTGCATTTTGTGCTATTGTATATTACGCTTTAATCCTACTCCTATAGCAACAGCTGTTTTCTCAGATGGCTTCTGCTGCCACCTTCCTAGCACCTTCCTAAAGCTGTGTTCCAGCATTGTTCCAGAATGCCCATTAAAGCTTTCCATCTCAAAAAGTTTCAGCCCTTAAGTTCAAGATTTAACATTTGTCCAACCCTAAACTGACCAAATAGGAGAGATTTCTCTTGACCAGCTCTCCACATCAGTTTTTCACTGAATTACGCTAAATCGTGTAACCTATCTCACCAGCCACCTTTACTCCTGCCTATACCTTCAGATCTATACCCTTTAGTTCTAACTTGGTTTCTGATCCCAATGGTCCTCTCAAGTGAGTGGGAAAAATCCATTCACCAGACAAGTAATAATAAGTAATCTTAAGATAATGGGTGTTTCGGCTTTAACACTATGACTTCCTGGAAGAACTCTTGGAATGTAGAATTTATACTAAAACACAACAGACCTTATGGGAAAATAGGATCAGGATCACACCGTACAACTTTGTAACTAGAGCAATAACAAAAAAAAAAAAATGATGTAAAATGTATTCAGGGGTCGCCTGGGTGGCTTAGTCGGTTAAGTGTCTGCCATCAACTCAGGTCATGATCCCAGGGTCCTGGGATTGAGCCCCACGTCGGGCTCCCTCCTCAGCCAGGGAGTCTTCTTCTCCCTCTGCCCCTCCCCTTCTGCTCATGCTCTCTCTTGCTTTCTCTCTCCCCAATAAATAAATAAAATTTTTTTTAAAGATTTTATTTATTTATTTGAGAGAGAGAGAATGAGAGATAGCACGAGAGGGAAGAGGGTCAGAGGGAGAAGCAGACTCCCCGCCGAGCAGGGAGCCTGATGCGGGACTCGATCCCGGGACTCCAGGATCATGATCTGAGCAAAGGCAGTCGCTCAACAAACTGAGCCACCCAGGCGCCCATAAATAAAATCTTAAAAAAAAAAAAAAAGTAAAACATATTCAGGATTTGTTTTAATGAGGTCCGATAAGACACGCAGAAATGACTGTCATGGGCGCCTGGGTGGCTCAGTTGGTTAAGCAACTGCCTTCGGCTCAGGTCATGATCCTGGAGTCCCGGGATCGAGTCCCGCATCGGGCTCCCTGCTCAGCAGGGAGTCTACTTCTCCCTCGGACCCTCCCCCCTCTCAAGCTCTCTCTATCTCATTCTCTCTCTCAAATAAATAAATAAAATCTTAAAAAAAAAAAAAAGAAATGACTGTCACAAAGTAGGAAGTTTTTATACTCCCAGATCCCTAGAAACAAGGTAGAGCATGCCAAGCCACGCAAGGAGGGCCACATGGGGAAACACTAGGATTGGTCAGGAGGCAGAGGGAGTGGAAGGGAAACTGGAAAACCCTGTATTGTGGAAAAAGTCTGTATTTTCTAGGGAAGGCATGAGTGATGCAGGGCAAGCAGGCTAATCAGATTTAGAATTGGATTTTTATTAATTTCAACAAAATTGTCCCTGGGATGATTAGGGCCAAGGGGAATATTGCCAGAGTGTAAGAGCCTGATTGGGCGGGGGAGGTACAGGTGTGCAAGTAGGGTGGGCTCTGGTATGGTTAGTTTGCATATGAAAGTTGTGCAAACTGGGTTGAGCTGTTTGCTGTCAGCCATCCCTAGGATAGTTCTGGGGGATGATCAGTCATTCCTTGATTAGTGAGAACCCAGATGCTAGACAGCATCAAGAATATAGATAATAAGAAAATATAGGTAATGCAAACAATTCTGATAAAAGTTATTAACACTGTAAGATTTTGAATTTCTTTAAAAAAATATTTTATTTATGTATTTAGGGGTTTTTTTTGAAGATTTCATTTATTTATTTGAATGAGGGAGCAAGAGAGAACATGAGCAGAGGGAGAGGGAGAAGCAGACTCCCCGCTGAGCAGGGAGCCAGACATGGGGCTCAATCCCAGGACCCTGGGATCATGATCTGAGCCAAAGGCAGCCAATTAACCAACTGAACAAAGCAGGTGCCCCATTATTTATTTATTTGAGAGAGTGCACATGGCACATGTGAATGGGGGGGGGCAGGCTGAGGGAGAGGGAGAGGAAAAGAATTCCAAGCAGACTGCACTGAGTGCAGGCAGCCCAAAAAAGGATCGGTCTCATGACCCCGAGATCATGACCTGGGCCCAAACCAAGAGTGAGATGCCCAACCAACTGAGCCACCCTGGTGCCCAAAGTCATTGAATTTCTAATAAACATTACAGTAAATATAAGGCTTAGCCACCCCCCCAGAAAGGTGAAATAACTTGATGGAAGGGTGTGTAAGGAAGTGCTGTGTTACGGTGCTAAGACCCAAATAGCAAGATCAAAGAGAGCAGTGCATTAAGTGCAGGTTTCCCCTTCAAAAAGTAGAGCATTCCTATGAAATCCCCTGCTTTCTGAAAAGTTTGTGTTGTGCCACTTCGCTTTTACCAAAGACCTACACTAGTATAGTAACAACTTTTTTCGTAAAAGTGAAAATCCTCTTTGGATTTCTTTCAGTTAGCAAAAATAGGTATTAATGTAGGTCTGTCCTAAAAGTGAAATGGTGTAACACGGACTTTTAGAAAGTGGGGGATACCTGTACTTCTAAGATGGACATAACCAAACTGAGCTAAGAGGAAGTATATAATGGTGAATGAACTATATTCCTCCATGGCTTGCTTTATTCAGCTTTGTAAGTGTACTTTGCAACTCCTGATGCTGACTTCCAGGCTTTACTGACATTTTTTCTATTTATCAATCTTGGTTCAGCTGATTTGCCTTACAGAAATAGGCCTAAGCTGATAGAGCATAGTGATGAAAAGAGCTTTTAGGCTTTTTGCTTCAGCACCCATGATCTTGGATGTCATGAAGGTTGCCATAGCTGGAAATAATACTCTCTGTGTTGTAAAGCTTTAATGTCATATCTCTGCTTTTATTCCCAGGTCAAGGATGCAGTCCAAGAAAGTTCTAAAAATATATCATCAGGTCCAACCTGGTAGTTAACCTAGCTATGAAAAGCCTCCTTGGATCCTCACTGGGTCAGACCATACTGGCATTCTTAAAAACTCTTCCCATTAAAGAGTATCAAGAATGAAAATATAAGGTATATACCTACCACTTCAAGAAAGTTCCTACCAGCCAATAGTCTAGCACCTTAGCTTGCTGCTTTGATCATCAAACAGACATACTCAAGCTCAACACAACAGAGGAAAATGTCTCGGTATCAATATTTTTCACATTCTGTGTGTGACCCATCAGGTATTGAAATCAGTTCTGTGAGTCACAAAAATTTTTTAAAACAAAATAAAATAGAAAGTATCAGGTGCTTTGCCTGACTCCTCTGCCAGAATTTTGCTGCAAGGAATACTAAGGTCAATTTCAGTATGTGAAAAGATAATTAATGGAGGGCATATAATGATTAGAAAGTATATTGGCTAAGAAATGGTTTTTCAATCCTTTGTCCACTGGTGTCTTGTTCGGTTTGCATAATAAAGTTGGTGAGCCGTCTAATTTTATGTTACCATGACTTGCAACTAGATGTGAATTCTGAGATGTTCAACTGAGATGCATTTGCAAACTGCATTTTTAGAAAGATGTTATCTAGGCTATATTTATATATATACATATATATATATTTTTTGGTTAATGGCAGTTAAAACATTTTAATCAAAATTACTTTTAAAATGGATCATATCTTTTTTAAAAGAAAGAGGAAAAATGAAGTGAAATATGCAGAAGCATGTTCAAGTTCATCTCCTGTATCTGGAAATGTGAATAGTGACAATACTGAGAAAAATAGTGACTCTGATTTGCAATCTTCAGCTTCGTTTGAGCCACATTTCAAAAAGAAAAAAGTAAGTGCAAGACGTTATAATGAAGATTATTTAAAATACGGTTTTATCAAATGTGAAAAACCCTTTGAAAATGACCGACCTCAGTGTGTTATTTGTAATAATATTCTTGCAAATGAAAGCTTAAAACCTTCAAAATTAAAAAGACACTTAGAAACTCAGCATGCTGAACTTATTGGTAAGCCTCTTGAATATTTTCAAAGAAAAAAAGATGTAAAGTCGTCAACACAATTTCTTGGTGGTTCTACTGCCATTAGTGAGAAAGCCTTATTATCATCATACTTAGTTGCATATCGAGTAGCAAAAGAGAAAATGGCTCACACAGCTGCTGAAAAAATAATTCTTCCAGCATGTTTGGATATGGTACGTACAATTTTTGATGACAAATCAGCTGATAAATTGAAAACGATATCTAGTGATAACACAATATCTCTTCGTATTTGTACTATTGCGGAACATTTAGAAACAATGCTTCTTGCTCGGTTGCAGTCTGGTATAGATTTTGCAATCCAGCTTGATGAAAGCACTGATATGGGGAGCTGCACAACAATCTTAGTTTATGTCAGATATGCGTGGCAAGATGATTTTATGGAGGATTTTTTGTGTTCTTTAAATATAACCTCACATTTAAGTGGATTAGATATTTTTACAGAATTAGAAAAGTGCATTGTTGGTCAATATAAATTAAACTGGAAAAACTGCAAAGGAATTACAAGTGACGGAGCAGCAAGCATAACGGGAAAACATAGCAGAGTAATTAAAAAATTGCTAGAAGTTACTAATAATGGTACTGTGTGGAATCATTGTTTTATACATCGTGAAGCTTTAGCATCCAGAGAAATCCCACAGAATCTCATGGAAGTATTGAAAAATGCAGTGAAAGTCGTTAACTTTATTAAAGGAAGCTCACTAAATAACCAGCTTCTTGAAACATTTTGTTCAGAGATTGGAACTAATCATACCCACTTACTATATCATACCAAAGTCCGTTGGTTGTCTCACGGGAAAATACTAAGCAGGGTTTATGAACTCAGGAATGAGATTCACATTTTTCTTACTGAAAAAAAATCTCATTTGGCGAGTATTTTTGAAGATGATATTTGGGTAATGAAATTGGCATATTTAACTGATATTTTTGGCATTCTTAATGAACTGAGTTTAAAACTACGGGGGAAAAATAGTGATATATTCCAACATGTCGAAAGTATCCAGGGATTCCGAAAGACATTATTGTTATGGCAAGCGAGGCTGAAAAGCAACCGTCCTAGCTACTACATGTTTCCAAGATTTTTGCAACATATTGAAGAGAATATTATTAATGAAAACACTTTGAAAGAAATAAAATTAGAGATATTATTGCATCTCACTTCTCTGTCTCAAACTTTTAACCATTTCTTCTCAGAAGAGAAATTTAAAACATTAAGAGAAAATTGCTGGGTAAAAGATCCATTTGCTTTTCGAAACGCAGAATCAATAATTGAGTTAAACTTGGTGCCTGAGGAAGAGAGTGAATTATTGCAGCTCAGTTCTTCATATACATTGAAGAGCGATTATGAAACATTAAGTTTATCAGCATTTTGGATTAAGGTGAAGGAAGACTTTCCTCTGCTAAGTAGAAAGAGTGTCCCGCTGTTATTACCATTCACAACAACTAGCTTGTGTGAGCTAGGGTTTTCAGTCTTAACCCAGTTAAAACCAAAGGAAAGAAATGGATTGAATGGTGCAGCAGGTATGCGGGTAGCATTGTCCTCCTGTGTTCCAGACTGGAATGAACTTATGAACAGGCAAGCACACCCATCACATTAAATAAATCTTACTGATTTTTGTTTTTGTGTTTCTTATTTTGTGATATTTTCCTACGTTGTATTTAGATGTTAATATAGCATTGTATGAGGTAACTGTTTTTATTTTTGTTATATTTAAATATTAATAAAATCATAATGTAACTTTACATTCATTGAACAAAAATTCAATGAACTTCTCTTAGAGTCCAGGAACTGTTTTAGAGACATTTGAGATACAAAATGAAGAAAGCAAAAATCATTCTATAGTGGAACTTATGTTCTGGCAGGGAGAGATAGACAATAAATAAGGCTTATAATATTTTAAAGATAAGTGCTATAGAAAGAGTAATAAGAAAGAAGGTCAGGAAATTATTTGAGGACCAAATCATGAAGGGCTCAGTAGACCATCATAGGGCCTCTGGGTTTTTGTCATTGAAATGGAGAGCAATTGAAGGGTTATGCAGAGGAAATACATTAACTGAATTAGGTCTTAAAAGACACTCCAGGGGTGCCTGGGTGGCTCAGTCGGTTAAGAATTCGACTCTTGATTTCAGCTCAGGTCATAATCTCGAGTTGTGAGACCAAACCCCACATTGGGCTCTGTGCTCCTCATGGAGTTTGCTTGAGAGTCTCTTTCCCTCTGCCTCTGCGTGTGCACTGCCCCCCACTCGTGCACTCTCTCTCTCTCAAAATAAATAAATAAAATCTTAAAAAAAAAAAAAAAAGACTCACTCCATGGGTGCCTGGCTGGCCCAGTCCATGAAGCATCTGACTCTTGGTCTCAGGGTCATGAGTTTGAACCCCTCGTTGGGTGAAAAGATTACTTAAATAGACTCACTGATATTTTGAGAATAAATTGAAGTAAATGCTACTTCCCTAAAGATTTTCCTAACCACCGTAGGTTTTTTTTTCCCCATTATTCCCTTTATTTCTTTGTAGTATATCATTTGTAGTATTTTAATTATTTGAATACTAGTTCTGTCAGTCTGCCACCTTAGGATGAGTGCTCCACAGGAGCAGAGCTCATGGCCATTTTGTATGATACATAGTGGGTATTCAGTATACATTTGATTAACAAATAATGGACTCTTAACATCTGAACTTGAGGTCATATTCTCAGGAATAATTATTAAATGTGTGGCAAAGCCTTTTTTACATTTTAAAAATCTGATTTTGTTAGATAACCTCTGTAAGTATCCAAATATGCACTGATTGATACAGCTTCCTCGCATTGTTGCTGATAATTAAGCAACTTAAATTGCTTAATATGTCTTTCTCAAACTAATTTCAACTTCTGCCTTTATGTATTCACTGACTCCAATGAGTGATTTTTTTTAAGCGATGTTTCTTTTGTCAAGGGCTTTCTCTAAAATCATAAAGGTTAGCAATTCTTTTCTATCAGCCACCACACTTAGCATTATTGTAATATTTGATTTTCCATATTTTGTATTCTGTTGAAGGTAATCACTCCCCACCCCCACCCCCGCTTTCTTTGTGCTTGAAATAAAGTGTTGGAAGACAATTCTCCATGAATATTTAACTTGTCTGCTCAGTGTGGATCTAATGAATGAAGGTATTTGCCTCCAAGTTAAGGATGTTTATAAAGGGAATCAGTTTAGGATCAGGAAGCTAGAGACACCCAGGGAAGTAAAGATAAAAGCCTTCTTCCCCTCTTCAAATACCAGCAACTCCATAACACCCTACTCTTCTGTGGTGCAACCCACTGCATGATGCAGAGGTAACACCTGGCCCTTACCATGTCATGCTGTGGAATTGGGGTATGGGGAACTGACAAACAATATTGATCTGGCTGGGTTTCTTGCTATGAGTAATAAATTGTTTCTGACCCAGAGATCTTGTGTCTTTTGTCAGTATATGTCATTTGTGCAAAATCCTTTTTACTATGTAAGGCAACATATTCAAGGTTTCAGGAATTCGGATCTGGACGTCTGGGTGGTGAAGAGAGGACTCAAACCTATCACAGGCCACTCTTGACAAAGACTCATACCAATCTTGCATGAGAAATACACTCACCTCTCCTGAAGTGACCAAAAGTCTCAGCCCATTACAACATCAAGTTCAAAATCTCAACTAAGGGACGCCTGGGTGGCTCAGTTGGTTAAGCAACTGCCTTCGGCTTGGGTCATGATCCCAGAGTCCTGGGATTGAGTCCCACATCGGGCTCCCGGCTCAGCGGGGAGCCTGCTTCTCCCTCTGACCCTATCCCCTCTCATGCTGTTTCCCTCTCTCTCTAAAATAAATAAAATCTTAAAAAAAAAAAATCTCATCTAAGTCTCACCAGCCCCAAGGCTCAAATCTGACATCTAAATCACCTAAAGTAGGTGTGGGTACAGGATCTGGGTATAATCTATCCTAAGGCAAAATCCTCTGTCTGTGGACCTGTGAAATTAGAAAGTCAGTTCTGTGCTTCAAAAATACAGTGGTGGGACAGACCTAGATAACAGTCACGACCATTCCCATTCAAAAAGGGAGAAAATGAGAGACAAAAATGAGTCACCGTCCAGTCTCCTTCAGAGGTCCACCTAGGTAAACTCCACCAGGTTTCAAAGCCTTGGGATAATTTATATGGCACATGCATCTGCCTTCTGGACTGAGACTACTCTCTGGGACTATGGCTCCACATTTGGAGTCACACTTTTTTTTTAAGTAAACTCTATCTCCAATGTGGATCTTGAACTCGTGACCCTGAGATCAAGACCTGAGCTGAGATCAAGAGTTGAACGCTTAACTCACTGAGCCACCCAGGTGCCCCTGTTCTAAGACCTTCAAATGCCTCATCTCTCTTCATCCTTTAGCAACCAAGAAGGCCAACCAACAAAAGAGAGAACTTTATTTTTAATTTTATTATTTTTTAAGAAAAATTTTTTAAGTATTTATTTGACAGAGAGTGTGCAATCCGGGGAGGAGCAGAGGGAGAAGGAGAAAGAAGCAGGTTCCCCACTGAGCAGGGAGCCCGATGTGGGGCTCCATCCTAGGACCCTGGGATCTTGACCTGAGCCAAAGGCAGACACTTAACTGACTGAGCCATCCAGGCGCCCCTAAGACAAAATTTTTAATAAGGAAGTCCAGAATTATTGAAAGCTCTTAATGTTCAAGAAAACAATGTCCAGATTAGTACTGAGTTCAAGGTCTTTGAGATATGACCCTAGCTTTCCTGGCAAGTCTCAACCTGCACTCTGTTTACCAATCTAATTTTTTTATCTTTTCCAGGAGAAGCCACATGCTTTCCCAGTATTCTGCCTTTGCTCAAGCAATTGGCACCATCTGAAATTTCTTTCCCCCAGTTCTGTATATGTCAGCATCCTATGCCTTCTGGAACTTACTATAAGGGGAATAATAAAGTATGTCTTTTTTTACCCGTAGCTTCTTTCACTCAGTATATATACTTTTAGATGCTTCAGTGTATCAGTAGTTCATGCCTTTGTGTTGCTGAGTGGTTTTCCATTGTATGACGAGATCACAATTTGCTTATTCTTTTCTTGTTAGACATTTACATTGTTTAGGGCTATTATGGATTAAGCTCAATGAACATTTCATGTATAAGTCTTCGAGTAGACACGTTTTCTTTTTTTTTTTTTAAGCTTTTATTTATTTATTTGAGAGAAAGAGAGCACACAATCAGGGGAAGTGGCAGAGACCAGAGGGAGAAGCAGGCTCCCTGATGAGCCGAGAGCTGCGTGCAGGGACTCCATCCCAGGAACTCTGGATCATGACCTGAGCCAAAGCCAGATGCTAAACCAACTGAGCCACCCAGGCACCCTGGTAGACATGTTTTCATTTTTTTCCTGGTAAATACCTTGTAGTGGATATATCTTCTTTGGTGAGGTATCTGTTCAACTGTTTTGCCCATTTTAAAATTTGTGTTGCTTTTCTTCCTATTTTTGAGTTGTTTTTTTTTTAAATTATACTCTTTTTTTTTTAAGATTTTATTTATTTATTCATGAGAGACAGAGAGAGAGAGAGGCAGAGGGAGGGGAGAAGCAGGCTTCCCGCAGAGCAGGGAGCCCGATGTGGGGCTCGATCCCAGGACCTGGGATCATGATCTGAGCCGAAGGCAGACGCTTAACCATCTGAGCCACCCAGGCACCCCAATTACAAGCTTTAAATCAGTAATCAGCATTCATATTATTATGACCTGTGAATATTATTCATGGCTGATCTTACAGTATTCCATGATTGTTTCCTGTAAACTTCTTGCTTACCCAGAGGTAATAATTGTCTCCCCTACCTCAACCCCCTTCTCTCCCCAAGCTTATTTGTGTGCTTGGTATTCTAATAATTAGTTTCCATTCATTGTGCTGACAGCTCTAGGAAGGGTGTTTCCAAGAAATGAAAGAGAAAGAAAAAAAAGAAAGAAAAAAAGAGGGAGGGAGAGAGGAAGGACGGAAGGAAAGGGACGAAGAGAGAAAAAGTAAGAGAGAAATCAAACACACCACCTAAAATACAGGCTGATGCTTTGGGAAGTTCACATGTGTTGCAGAGAATTTGACCATAATCATAAGTGTACTTATAATACCAAGCACACAAACAAATAAGCCTGGGGAGGTGGTGATAAAGAAAGGGGGGAAGTGGGAGAGTGAGATTAATTATTACCTCTAGGGTAAGCAAGAAGTTTACAAGAAAGGAAACATAGAATACCACAAGCTCAGTCATGAATAATATTCACAGGCCATAACTGATGAGGGAACAGAAGTCAAGCTGAGGACAAAGCAGAAGCTGACACCCCACAATCCGCCCCCCCATGGGATATATATGACATTCCTCAGGCACTCCCAGCTGCCCTAAAGGAAAAACAAATAGTTAACTTATAGAGATCACAATCCTGCAAGACCTGAGTCTTCCTCAGTTTACTTAGAAAAGCCTTAGCAATAGCTTCCAGAAGGGAATGTAAATAAAATTAAATGTCTTTATAACCTGCAGCCCATCGACATACTTGAAGTGGGCAGAGTGTAATGTTCCTCCAGGAGGTTCCCGCCTATCTTTTTTTTTTTTTTTAAAGAAATTCATTTTTTTTTTTTTTTAAGATTTTATTTATTTATTTGACAGAGACACAGCAAGAGAGGGAACACAAGCGGGGAGAGTGGGAGAGGGAGAAACAGGCCTCCTGCTGAGAGGGAGCCCAATGTTGCCAGGC